TCACAATGCAAAAACCACTGGTAAATGGTTTACTGACCATGGTATTACTGTGCTCAACTGGCCTGCCAACTCTCCTGACCTGAACCCCGTAGAGAATCTGTGGGATATTGTGAAGAGAAAGTTGAGAGACACAAGACCCAACACTCTGGATGAGCTTAAGGCCGCTATCGAAGCATCCTGGGCCTCCATAACACTCCAGCAGTGCTACAGGCTGATTGCCTCCACGCCACGCCGCATTGACGCAGTCATTTCTGCAAAAGGATTCCCGACCAAGTATTGAGTGCATAACTGAACATAATGATTTGAAGGTTGACTTTTTTTGTATTAAACACTTTTCTTTTATTGGTCGGATGAAATACGCTAATTTTTTGAGATAGGAATTTTGGGTTTTCATAAGTTGTATGCCAAAATCATCAATATGGGAAACAAAAGGCTTGAACTACTTCAGTTGCGTGTAATGAATATAAAAAATATGAAAGTCTAATGTTTGTCAGTACATTACAGAAATTAATGAACTTTATCACAATATGCTAATTTTTTTGAGAAGGACCTGTAGTTTACCAGAAAAAAAAAGTTGATTTGGGGGTGACGTGCTCTTTAAATCTCTGGTCTCCGGGTCTGCAGCTGTGTACTATTGTGGAATTCACATGAAAGGAGTGGGGTTTGATTGGAACCAAATGCATGACGTTCAGGTTTAAGGAATGGCTCAGGAAAATAACTTGCATTTCATAAAGAATGATCACTCAATAGTGCTAATATTATGATATTGTATAAAAAATTGTGTCTAGCGTTGCTCTGGAAGATGTAAATAGCGAGATACAGGTCCTTTAAAACCATAAAGCAGAAGTTTTCTTTTAAATACATAACTTTACAAAATCATGTTTAAAACGCTGATTGAAACTCAAGACTCGTTATAAATTAGTGTCTCAAAATAGAATTATAGTACAGCACAAACTCAAAATAATCTAAAATAACAGGCTAAAGAAACCATCCAGATTGTGAATATTATTAGTGTTAATGGTGTTTTGAGAGCTTGATTCATTTGATTCTTTTTGGTGGGAAAACACAAAAGCCCTTAAATTAGTAGATGATTTAAAAGAGAGGATTTCTCTAAAACCACTCATTTCATTTGAAAAGTAAAGGCTCATTTTATTTTACTTTTACTTGTAAGAATCTTTTATTTCTTACAGCAGTCTCTCTGTGAGGTGCTCATGTTGGCTGGATGCTCGAGCAGCGTGTGTGTGTGTGTGTGTGTGTGTGTGTGTGTGTGTGTGTGTGTGTGTGTGTGTGTGTGTGTGTGTGTGTGTGTGTGTGTGTGTGTGTGTGTGTGTGTGTGTGTGTGTGTGTGTGTGTGTGTGTGTGTGTGTGTGTGTGTGTGTGTGTGTGTGTGTGTGTGTGTGTGTGTGTGTGTGTGTGTGTGTGTGTGTGTGTGTGTGTGTGTGTGTGTGTGTGTGTACAAGATTTTAATGGAGACAAATTGATTTGGTCTCAACTCGGCTGTTCTGTGAATTTCAGCGTGAAAACATAAAGCACATTTCAGACTGTAGCTGCGGGTCGTTAATGAGCCGACCCGGTTCTCCCTGTGAGCTCACGTGTCAGGGATACGCAGCAGGGGCTGCTGGGTAATGGCGTACTGAAGCTCCCCCGTCAGCTGTGATTGAAGTGAAAATTTTATGATAAATCTAGAACTCACAGACTGGGCAAGAAGGAACTGAGTGTGTTCATCCTGGGAGTTTTATTTTTTCTCACTTTTGCTGACAAAGAAAAACAAAATGAAAGGATGTTGTGGGGAAATGGAAAAACGTTAGAGACTCATGAGTGTTAGAGCCGTCAGTCTGAGCTACAGAATGTGAAACACGGCATTTTAAACTCATTTTGCTGTGATACTCGTATGATTGTGGGTTATCTGTGGGTCACAATCTTCACAGAATTGTTCTCTTTCATTAATTCTCAATAAGCCCGAATGTAATGAGATGTTGAAACAAAGTGCAATGTATTATTTGTCCTATTGAGCAGCTAATTAGAGTGAAGTACCACAGCAGCACAACTGCTTTCTGCCAACAAAACACTGAAATATTATGCAAGAAATGTGAAATTCAGGAAATTGTCAGGTTTCCTGTAAAATGATTAAGAAATTGGGCACAACTTATTCCCTCATCCTATTTAGCTCTCCAGGTGGCTCTTTTGGATAAATTTTGGAAACACATTTAGATTTACCTATCGTTTCTCCCATGTGACCAAACTTTTTATGCAAATACTGTAACAATATGCAACCTAGGTTATTGAAATGAGACTTAATGTGCCAAAAACTTTCTTGACTGAACAGGTCTGTTTTTCTGAGATGGGAGCTACTATGAGCTGTGGAGAAGAGTTCTGCAGCAGGCATTCTGTAGAGAAGATATAGTGGAACAACATTTATGCTAGGGCTGTAGCGAAGCCTCGACGAAGTCGACGGCTCGATTCTAAAAATTTGTCGACGTCAGATCCGGAAGTCGACGCACCGCGCCCACTTGTTGCATCCCCAGGAGTTTGTAAATAGAGGAGGAATCTGCCCGTTTTTCCTCTAGTTCGCCCTCTTCTCCGCCTTCACTAACATCTCCGCCAAATACCGAAGACCCGGAACAACGTCCGTCCTCTACTAGATTATTTTCCTGTTTTGCCCCTTCGTCTCCCGGCAACGGACAACAACTTCCGGGGTCAGATGCGCTGCTTCGTGTCTATCGCAGATGTAGAAAATCACCGGGAGCGCTTCTCCCTTCATTAAGGAGCTTCTTTCAGACATTAGGAGAGCTGTTTTGGTGGTAGCAGTCTCTCCTCCGTGCTGGTCTGTTTGCTGCTGGGTGTTTTTGGTTTATTTAAACTTGGTAACTTCAACTTAACGTTGGTAAAGCTACTGTTAGCATCTTCGCTAACAGCTTCTTGCGTTGGGATAAGCTGTTACGTTTTGGTTTAGAGTTGATCTTTTTTGTGGTGTAGATCTCCCTTTTATTACATTTAGAGTGTTGTGGGTTTTCGGTTTAGTGTAAAATATCACCTGAGTTTGGTTTAACCCGTAACACCACTCGCCTCACGCACATAAGTGACCAAAACAAAGCAGCATGGAGACACTCCATCTTCTACCACCTCTCAGGCAGCAGCCTGCACTCCCAAGTTCTACACGTCACCAGAACATAACCAACCGCAACACAATAAAAGCAGTGTTATACAAAATGGAAGGCCTGTAGTGTTTATTCTCTTACAGTAAGAATTTATCAATTTTTTTGAGGAATTTATTTGAGATTTTCTGGTTTTTGTTAATTGTGCAATAGAAAAATAATCATTAGATTAATTTTCTAAATAGTCATTAGAATAGTCGACTATTCGATAAAATAATCGTCAGAATAATCGTTTTAAAAATAATCGTTTACCCCCAGCCCTAATTTATGCTTTGGGAAAGAAACATCTCAGGACAAGTTGTCTCATAGTTGACTAGAAAAACTAGAAAATGTGTATGTTGCAAAAATGTGTTTGATCGTAATTTTATGTGGCGGTCCCACGAGCCGAGTCGTAACATAAATGGGGGCTCATCCAGGATCAATGGATCTCATCAGTGTGTTTGAGTCAGTGAATTGGATCTGACTTTTTTGTGAAGTTTTTCCAATTATTTCTCATTTAGCAGTTTACCCCCGATTTGGTCGCAACACTCAGTTGTCACCTATTTCTTGCACTTTCTGACTAAGGAAAATGAAATTGACACGCATCTGAGATGGATTTTTGACATGCAATGACGTTTCACTGTTTTGTGAAAATGTTTATTTTTTAAATGTTTTCAAAATGTTCAATATTGCATTAACTTTTAAGCAAGCCATTGCACTGTTGGTTCTTTTTAAAAACACAGAAAAAAAGTTTATTTTTTACCTTGCTGACCGTTTCGTCCGCGGCTGCGAACTTCCTCAGAGCTGACGCTGATGGTCGCGTCACATCCCACTCCGTTTATCTGCGGGCAGCAGAGAAGTGACACCTCCATCAGCGTCCGCTCTGAGGAAGTTCGCAGTTGCAAACCAAACGGTCAGCAAGGTAAAAAAGAAAACTTTTCTGTGTTTTAAAAAAAGAACCAGCAATGCTGTTAGAAAAGCAACTGAGTAAGAACATACCATAGATGTTTTAAGCAAGCCATGCAACAGTGGCACAAAGATTGAGAACTTTAGTCAAATATTTTTTTGGACATTCTTTGGCAAATGCCAGTTGTAAAACATGCCAGTCACCGCCTTGTGCGATACTAGCTGTAATGTTAGGTAAACAGCTCAGTGGTCTAGTAGTAGAGTGTCTGCCCTGAGCCTGGGAGATCAGGGTTCGATCCCTGATCGGGTCATACCAAAGACTCCCTGCTTGACAATCAGCATTAAGGGGTTGGATTGGGGGGATTAAACCACCAAATGGTTCCTGAGCATGGCTGTGTCTGCAGCTCACCGCTCCCCCAGGGGATGGGTCAAATGCGGAGAACAAATTTTGCACACACACGAGTGTGTGTGACAACTAATGGGACTTTGACTTTAAAACCTATGTGTACAGGATCATGTGTGAATAACTTGGGTTCATATCATGAATCTGTTGGTATCTCATGAAGCAGTTATATGATCTAATCTGACATGTTTTGAAGACTTGTGATTTGCAAACGCAAATATTATCCTAGCATGAGTGACCAAGTTATGTGGAAACCAATCTGAATAGTTTATAATGTGAACTCTTTGTATTTAAAATTCAAATAATATTCAAAAGAACCCAAAATTAAATATATTAGATGAAAAATGATACATGTAGGATTGTGACAGTTGTTCTGACGCTGTGGCTCTATCAGTCCAGCTCTCATGTCTCCTACCAGAACCTGATCTTCCACTAAGCTGTATTCCGATCTCCGTGTGTCCCAGTTCTCAGGAAAACTTGCCTACATCCCACGCTCTTATCTAGTTCAAGATATAAAAAAACACTGATTTTGTATTCTTTCTCTTTTTTTCCCCCAGCTATTTTATAAACACTCAAGCTAAATGGGATTGAAACTTCCTTTGGAGTTTGGACTAATCCTCCCCCTCCCCCTCTTCCTGTACCTGGATTTGGACTTTCCTTGCTTTCTGTCTGGCTCTGCTGGGATGCTGCTTACATTTGGACAGTCCTGAAATCTAGGTAAGAACTTATTGATGTTTTTACTGTGTGTGCGTGCTTGCACTTCGCCTGAAATATGGACCAAAACTGACACGAAAGATCTTGTTTCATCTGAACTTTTGCACTTTTCATAAATATGTGGTGTCATCAGCACATTTTGTATTGATTTCCTGCCTTCCTGCCATGTTCCAACCCCTGAAAGCTTTTAAAAACCCATTAAAACCATCTTCATGCTGTATATTCTATTGATTTTATCCTAATAAGTTTACACAACAACATAAACTGACAAGTTACAGAATTAATGCACAATTTTCATGGATGTGTGCCAAGACCATTGAAGAGAAACTAAAGATTTTACATGTTGTCTGTTTTTCTGAGTGTTTGTTTGACAAACAGACATAATAAATTGAGTTTTGATGCTACAAGCTCCATAGAAACACAGGACAGTTATCAAATTATGATTATTCGTCAATATCAAACTCCCACTCGTATGAGGAGCAGGGAGTGAGGATAGGAGATGGGAAAAGGAAGGCCAAAACAGGAAAACAAAAGCTTTTTTCATTTTATTTATTAACTCTGACAGTCTGATAAATGTAGTCTATTCACTCTCTTCCTTTGTTCCAGTTTCAAACAATTGTGCGGGAGCATACTGAGAGTTCTTGGTTCCTGAACAGGAATTGTATCATTTATTTTGAAGAGTTTTCCTGACGGGAGGGGATAAAAATGTGCAAGATAAGATAAAAAATAACTTAATATTTTCGACGATCCTGATAAGAGTCGACCTCTGGCTCTGTAAATAAACGCCACCGGATATATTTAGAATCAAAGACGAGCGGCTGGTTTCCTTGAAGAGAGGCGTGTTGTATCTGTGAGAAGTGTCCACATGGTTGTTCACGGCGATTCCTGTCCTCTGCAGACATAAATATACACCACTGACCAGCTCAGTGGCCTAGTGGTAGAGTGTCCGCCCTGAGACTGGGAGATCAGGGTTCGATTCCTGGTCGGGTCATACCAAAGACTTTGAAAAAATGGGAGCCAATGCCTCCCTGCTTGACACTCAGCATTAAGGGGTTGGATTGGGGGTTAAACCACCAAATGGTTCCCGAGGGCGGCTGTGTCTGCAGCTCACCGCTCCCCCAGGGGATAGGTCAAATGTGGAGAACAAATTTCGCACACACACCTGTGTGTGTGACAACTAATGGGACTTTAACTTTAACCAATGAATCTGTGCACGTTGGCGTGTGCAGCTCCAGCAGTCCCAGTTCGCCTGGAAGCATTGCAGAGCTCCCACGGGAAAAATGAAGGTTAAAGACCTGCTTGAACTTGAACACACACACACACACACACACACACACACACACACACACACACACACACACACACACACACACACACACACACACACACACACACACACACACACACACACACATCTGATAATATCCTGGGTAAGAGATAAGAGCATATGCAAGCCAAAAATAGCACAGACCAGAGTTGGCATATTTCCTGTATTATAAATGTGAAGCGAAAACAGCTGCTTCCAGGATTTTAAGATCCCTAATTAAAGTCAAGGGACTCTGAAGGAGTCGGTTAATTTTTAAGGTGTTTGAAAGGCTTGTTAATCCAGACTCTAATGAAACGTTGAGTATAGATTTGCAATAGGGGTATAGTTTTTGATGAAATGAAAATACCAGCATTGTGTCACCCATCTGTAAAATTGTACAATCGTCAATTTACTCATTTCAAATGTTTTTCTCATTGAGCTCAGCGAAGGTTCAGATTACTCAGATAATTTAAAGGTTTGGTTCACTGAAAAAAAACCCTTTTAATGATTATTTCTGATTATAATCAGTCACTGAGTTTTTTTATGCAGGCAAAACCTGAAAATGGTCTCCTACACCTATCTCGTGCATTACCTACTGATAGGAAATAGAAGATGAAACTCTAGGATTTGAAAACCCTGACAGATCTACATGAAGCGGTCGCTTGGGCTCACCCATACGAAGACTGTTGTTTTAGCATCCAGAATTAGCAGAGAACATTTCAGCTAGCAGAAGCTAACTGTTAGCATTAGTCAATCAACCACAGGGCAGAAGCTCCTCTGGGCTTGTGTTATTTGTGGAGATATAACATCCATGTTGCAGAGCAAACAGAATCAGCGGTAGAGTCGCTGTTTTCCAATCAGAGGCGAGATGTCCAAATATCAGGAAATAAGACTCTAAATCTTCCGTTTAAGCTGAACGGAAGCTTTTTTGCCCAGAGCATGACTTGCAAGGCATTCAGACCACTGCTAATGTATCTATTAAATTAGTTTCCACACCTTTAATTAAAAATGATTTAAAAAAAATAATCCTAACCTGACTTTGTGTGCTACTCTTCCAGATCAGGAAGTTCAGCAGTTCAGATCAGGACAAAAAGGAAGTTGAATGCTAAAGCACTGCAAGACATCCCAAAATTTTCAAAATAAAAGTCATGCGCATATTTCCAGTTGCTTATCTAGTAAAATATAAGTGTCATTGTTACTTGTGAAACCTCTGTAACTGAGGCAAATGGAACAGGAAGCAAACCACATACCTTTGGATACATAATGCTGTCTTTCTCTTTGCGTACTGCGTGAACTGGCGAAATCCCGTGTGATCTTGCAATTTTATAGTGATTTTTGTGACCACTGGACATGCTGTGGAGAAAGCTTTCACTGGCAGTGTTTAACACTCAGTAGGAAGAGATAAAACACGTCTAGCTTGTGAAGCATCACTCAGACGTCCGGTGAAAAGGACTAAAGGTATGAATATTTTTCAGTTTTCATTCAGTTTGTCATTGGACCTTAGCTTAATTTCTAAGTGTAGAGACGTTTATAAGATGCATCTCACACACCTCTAAAGGAAGTGTGGGTGTGGGTGTGGGTGTGGGTGTGGGTGTGTGTGTGTGTGTGGGGGGGGGGGGGGGGGGGACTGTTTTTAAGGATGATGAAATTCCTAGACTGAACATGGAGTTTGACAGGAGGCGTCAGAACCGCAACCTTCCTTCTATTTTTACTTGAGTTTGTCAGACTCCAGCTGAGAGCATCTTTTGATATTTCCCTCCAACTCAGCAACTGTCTCTTTCTGCTGTTTGTTGTTTCAGTTTACTGTCTTTTTTTATTGCAGCGACAGCAGAAAAGATGACGTTTGAACACATGCGCCAAACATTTCATTCTTTCATTTTCCTGATCTTCACAGGAGGTTATTTTGTTTTTACTCAAATGCAAAAACAACCTTTAAGTAACTGAATAAAAACCTTTATTTATTTGTTTTATTACAAGAAAACCCTTTTACCATAAATAAAATTTTCTAATTAATACAAATTTCCCTGTTTATTAGTCATCCTTTATTCTTTCTATTTAGCATGTGTTCCATCACAATTTGTCTGTTATATTTTATACTGCTTAGTTCTAAGTTCACAATTGTTGCCTATAGCAACATTTTCAAAGAGCAAGTCACATCAAAATCAACGTTTTTAGCTGATAACTAGTATAAATGAGTGTCTAATAGTGTTGTAGTATGTGTAGTTATTATTTTTGCATTTTGATGCATTTTCTTTGAAAACTCTTAATTCTGTCCAAAAATGTCAGTCTAGCGCCATCTTCAGCTCAAAAGTATAGAACGTTTATTTTGAGTCGGTTTTAGCCAATGGCTAACGAGAACAATGCTACGTATTTCAGAAAAGTACTAGGTAGCAGCTCTGTGGCTGTATGTTATAAAAGATTTATTTAAATAATATAACAAATAACTGTTTAGAGTGGGAAGGAATCATTCGACGGCACATTCTTCAGGAAGCTCCTGATCCTGACGACGCCACCATAGGAGACCAGCTGCAGACACTTGAGGATCACCTACAACCAAGAGAGCAGCTGGTATCAGTAAATAATGAAATCAGGGCAATTTTAGGTGGATGTTTGATTGTATAACATAAATGAACACATTACAGGATTTTCTCGAGGGGTATTTTTATAACTTTCTCTGCAGCAGAGAGTAACTTTAGCCCAGGGTAGGTGGCAGTGTCCTGGAGAGCTGCTATCCAACACGTTTCAGTGGTTTTCCTGCTTTAACGTGTTAGATTAGCTGTTCAGCAGCTCAGCTATTTGCTGCTGATTGAAATAAGGTGTGTTGAAGCAGATAAACCTCTAAAACATGATTGATAGCAGCTCTCTAGGCCCGTGGAGCCAAACCCTGCAGCTAATCTAATGCTGTGGCTAACAACTACTTACCATTCAGAGCTGGTTCTGTTGGGTCGGTTCCGGTAGTTTCAGGCAACTCACAAGCTCAAAACAATAATGCTCAGGTCCGCTTGTCTCATCCAAATTGACTAGGTCCCGTTCTTCTCAATTGTCTGGGTAAGGAGGGGGAGAAACATCCTCCACTTCTAATAACTTCTCAGAGTGAAGGGTGCTAGCTTCGTCTCGTTACCCATCCGTCTTCGTCACTGGTGCGGCTCCGCCCTCTCGGTCCGCCAGGCAACGCCTACTAATGTTGCAGTTTTTAAAATTGATACGTGGATGGAGAAGGACTTTGAGGCAGGCTTGACCTGCCCTTTAAATGTAAATGCAACATAACTGATCAAATAATCACAAACAATATTTTTCATCCTCTAGATCTGAAAAATGATGAATTGTGTTAAAAATCTAAAGACAAAATTTTCATTTCTTATACTTTTCCTAAATTAGTCATTCTCAAACCTTGTTAAAGCATGAATAATAATTTCATGTATAATTTAATTAATAGTAGGGAACTAAAACAGAGAAAATTACTGAAGAGGACTTTAAGTTTTTAGGTCTTCTCATACCAGAACTACGTTAGGATGGGAATCACAGCTTATTACATTTTTATGGCTGAACTTTCTGGCACAAATCCTGCAGATAAAACTATTTCTTGCCAAATGTAGCTTTTATTGACGGCTATGGATTTAACTTTTTGTGCTGCCAAATAAAAACAAAATTAAACACCAAATGCTGCTTCATTTTTCATTTCCTTCTTTTCCAACTA